GAGGCAAATATGCTTCTAAAGTTGTGATTCTCGGGAACCCAGCCCACACTGCCTCTTGCCTCCAAAATACCCAAAAGGTCCACAGTGCATCTTCTACAGAGTCACTGGTGCCATCCACCTAAGATGTCATGCCATGTCAGTCTTCCCATTAGCATTTCAGCAAACCTTCAAGACCAGGAAAGAAACACTCCTTCCCACCCCTAGGATACTACCCTCTCCCACAACTCCTTTCTGCCTAACTAAAACCCATCTATCCTTCACAGTCCAGCAATTATGAGGCTAGAGAACCTGGTCTTTGAGCCCCAAAGACCTGGATTCCAGTTCTGCCCCTCAAACAGACTGGCCATGTGACTCTTAACCTCTGAGTGCTTTAGGCTAATCTCTAAAACTCTAAGTTACAGAGGTGGTACTGAACTGAATATCAGTGAAATCGTAAGTCCAGCGATTAGACTCTAGTCCCTAACCCTATAAATGAGAGTTATTATTATCTTCTCTCCTTCATGAAACCTTCCCCTTACCATGTAAGCCCACACAGATCTTCCACTTTTTTCTGAACTCTGAGAGCACGTTATCATTTGTACACTTGATTGGAACACAAACACTTTGGCCTTCCTCCCATAATACCTAGCAGAGGGCCTTGCATTTAGTCCCTCAGTGAGTATTTGTTGAATGAATAAATGGTGGGCACTCTCCCCAACCCCAAACAGCATTCTGAAACCAAAAGGCTTCGGTTCCCACAAGCTTCTCAGCACTGCCTGGTGATGCCTTCTGAGAAATTGAGCTGGAAGGCCTTCTGAAGTTCTAGCTTTCCAACCAAGGGAGGAGGGGACCTAGAGTTCAGCTTTGAGGGAAAGGGCCATCAGAGTTAGTATGAGGTCAGAGTCTCTGCATCTGTACCCTGTCCCAGTGGATGCCAACTGGAGGGTGAGGGAATCTGAGTTCAACAAACTGAAGAGTTTCCTCAAAGAAAGTCAGATTTCCTCTGGACCAACCTAGGGGTCAGGTTGTTTCAAAAAATACAGGAATTGCCTGACGGCTATGGGTTTCTGAAGTTTCTAGTTTCAGGCAACCAGACACAGAGGGGTTAATTGCAAAGGTCCAGACACAGATTGGGGGTGGGAAATCTGTTCTGTTTAAATGAAAAACAGATCCAAATAGGACAGCCAACTTGGCAGGGAAGCATAACATCTGTAACAAGACATAAGTAAGTAGGTGCATGTGTGTGTACGCATGCAGTTTTTTGGAGTTTTTATTGGGGTCACTTGCTCCCTCAACTCTTGCCAAGACTTTATACCAGGGGTAATAGAGTAAAACAAGCTAGAGGACCCCAGTCCAACAATACCCATCATCTCTGATAGCAGCAATAGCAGCAATGAAAAGAGGTCAGAAACACTCCTCCCCAGCCTCCACCCTAGGGATATAGCTAAGACCCACCTCTTGGTTGACTCTACCTAAGAATCCTTTGCCACAGGTTATGCAGGGAAGGCCTGGCCACTGGCCAGATGCGTTTCAGGAAAACTTAAAAAAAAAATCTGGCCCTGTGTCAACAGTGATTGCTTCTCCAGCCCCAAGGAATTCTCTGGGAGTTCCTTGAGTTGATTCAGCCAATGAGACTGTCCCCTCACCACTTTCCTCCCTCCTATTCCCAAATGACATGCACTGATGGAATCATAGGAAAACAATGAGTTAGAACGGCCCACCTAAGCAAGTCACTGCCCAGTACTGTCATTTTGTTCATTCCCCTGCCTCCAGACCAAGCTGTAGTATAATTGGCAGAGAAAAGAGATGATGATGATGTCTGGCTACAGCATTCTTTGACCTCCATTCCCAGGGCTTAGTTCCCTGAGAGTTGGCTCTCACTAGTACCTCAGGAGATCCATGAAAATCAGCCCTGATTCTTGAGCACCAAGTATAAAAAAAGCCAAGCAATGAGACCTGATCAGTACTCCTAACAAGTATTCAATAACTTTTTGAGGAGGATTAAGAAATCAGGCAGCAGACAGAATGGAAAAACCAGACAGTGGATCAAATGAAAAATCTGATATATTCTTCCTTTACTTTCTTTTTTCCTCTCTTTCTTTATTTTACTATTCTACTCCCACCCAATCCCACCCCTAGGCTGAGTTTTCCCTCAATTTTTATAACAAAGAGTAGCAATAACATCAGATCTACTATAAAACTGGGAATTGTAGTAATGATGGAGTGATAGGACCTGGATCCAGAAAGGAAAAAGTCCGAGTCTCTGGAAGCAACCCAGATTACCTAATTGGCCTACTTGACATTCCCTTCACCATTGCACCTGGCCCAACCTAGACTACTTACCACTGCTTAACCCAACCTTAGATCCTTTCACTATAGCTTTTGTACATAAGCATCACCCTCATCCTCATTAGTTCCCTAAGACCTTCACCTGCCTTACTGGCATTACAATAAACTTTGCCATTTGACTAGAAGAAGCGTTGGCTTGGGTGAATTCATTCCAGACAGATACCGCCCTGTACCCTGACATTTCTGGGTTCCCGGCAATGCTAAATCCCAAATTACTAAGTGAGCAATCTGGGGGGAAATAATTAAATCAATGGTTGAGGCAATCTGTTAATGATGTCTCTTTGTTTCAAGGATTTTTTTTTTTTTAAATATCCAGGAGTAAGTGACCAAGAAACAGTGTGGGTCATGGAAGGGGGACGGCAACTTGGCCAGAAAAACCTCTGCCAATACTCTGAGATTCAAAGGATTTTTGTGCTCTGCTCACTTTCGAAAGCTTTTGGTCAAGCAGCTTACACAGTCTATCCTCTTTTATGGTCGTGCCCAGGTCCTCCTTCCAACACTGCCTCAGAGCAAACCGATCTTAATTTCTCTGAACTCCTAGAGCACTTCCAATCTAAACCCCACACACAACCTCACAAGGGATGGTGCACTACTCTCTACTTATTTGATGTTGATTAGCCTTGCATCTGTAAAAAAACGCTCACTGGGGCAAGAACTTTATCTTCTCTTTCTCTGTCTAATCCCTTCTCCCCCACTCCAAGCCCTCAAGCACTTAGTATAGTACTGAGCACACAGGTGGTGTTCAATAAATGCTTATTTGAAAGTTCACCTGTCAATCTCTGTAGATTCCCCAAATTGACTCAGAGTCCTTGAATCACAGACACTTAAAAGTTGAAAGGGACCTATGGGGCAGGGAGGACTGAGATTTTAGGGAAGGAGAGGGCAGAGCAGGAAACCACCCATGGAATTAGGATTGCCAGGTTGAGTGGAAAAAGACAAGCAGGCTCTAATGGTAAGCCAACTGTCTCAGTTTAGTATTGAGAACATTTTTTTTTAATAGGCCAAGGTTAGCAGGGAGAATTGTACCCTGGGAAGAGCCTAGCCTGGGAGTCAAGTCTGGCCTCTGATTGACTGTGTGACATAGGGCAAGTCTCCTAACCTAGAGTGTCTCAGAGGAAGGGAGGCAGATGAGATCACAGCCTCCAGAGCCCTAAGGTATCTGTTTGAGGAGGGCAGGATAGAGAATGCAAGAGCTAGAGATATGGGGCCTTAGAGAAAAAGACAGGGAAAGGGCAGCCAGAAGGCAATTCAAGCAAGGTTAGGAAGCCATCACCTGATTTCGGAGCAGGTTAGTTTGAGCTACGAGATGAGCCTGCAGTTTCCCTTGGCACCACTGGGGAGCAGCTTTCTCAAGCAGCGAGACAGGCTGAGGGGTCAGGGAGTAAGGAGAGTGGAGGGCATGGAGGGAGTGGGGCATGGTGGGAAGCAAGGTCAAGGCAAAAAAAAGGAGAGGGAGAAAAAACAAAAGGGTGAGGGAGAGAGAAAAAAGAGACAGAAACACGGATTTTAGACACACAGATCCAAACACAATGCAGTTACAGACAGTTATCTCCACCGGCCACCCCGAACCCCCAGCCAAACAGAGAATGCCCAGCTTAGTGGACGATTAAGACCTTGGCGTGGGGAGGGGGTCATGAAGAACTCCAGCTAGACAAAGCCAAACACAAGAGCTGTTAAGAGTGGAGGAGAACCGGGGACCACCCCAGAGCTGAGGGAGGGGACGCATTACTGAGTGAATCTTTGCCTCCAGCCCCACCTCATAGGAGAAACTCCCAGTGCAGACTTCCACAGGTCTGCCCAGTCCGGAGGAAGGGTCGATTCAGAGTTCCATAAAGGGCAGTATCAAATCACCAAGACAGAATTTCTCTCAGGACAGAGGGCAGGGCACCATGGGCTGATGCCCAGGGGTGGGGCGGGGGGTGGCATCTGGTTCAGTGAAACTGGAGCCCTGGGTCACTGCTCTTATTCAGGAAAGTCACTTCAGAGGAGGGGATCAAGGGGATGGTGAATCAGGAGTCAAGCTGGGCATTCTCTCAAAAAGGGAATGGGAGAAGATGCTGCCAGAGAGAAGGAGAAGCAGCATGGGGGAGGGGAGGAGGGACAGAACCCCCAACCATCGGGGCTGGGGAGCGAGGGCACCATTTACTCTTAACCCAGTATAAGATTAAAAGGTCCGAATTTCTCAGAGACTGGGGGGTTAGGAGACCCAGATTCTAAACCTGCCTCTGCCACTCAGAAGCTGGAAGGCTTTGGGCATATCACGTCCTCTCAGGACTTCATTTTCCTCACCTTTCGAATGGGGATAAAAATACCCATCTACTGAACAGGCTTGTTTTGAGAATCAAATGAGGGAATGAATGTGAAAACATTTTGGAAAAGTTCAGACAGCTATTACAATTGGATGAGGATTTAATAGAGAAGGAAAGACTTCTCTTGAGGAGGCCAAATCAGCACTTCCCCTCTCACCACAGGGCCCAGAAAACCTTGGGGCAAGTCCACCAATCCTCTTCCACTCGTTACAGAAAAGAATACACTTCTCTTTCTGGGTTACTTCATTAGTTACAGGAGGGGAAGGAGGTACAACACCCCAACTTGTCAATTCAATGCCCACTGGTCCCCCACCTTGTCCCACCTCCAACTGCACCCACACCCCCAGCCCCCTTGGCTCATACCTTGGCAATTTTGGCTTCGTCCTTCTTTTTGGCAGTCTGAAGAGACTCGTAATGATGGCGGGCACTGTCATAGTCCACCAATTTCCTCCCACGCTTAGCGATTCGAGACTGCGGAGGGAGCACAAGGTGAGAGAAAAGAAAAATCTAGCAGGGAATGACAAAAGAACCTTGTAGCCTCCAGGACACCAGCCAGTTCTAAAGGACGTTCTTCCCCGGGCGAGGAAGTCTACAGATCTACACCAAAAGCCCATTGACCTTCTTCCTTAAGGTTTGTGCTCTACAAGGGTGACCAATTCGTTACCAATCAGACCCCTTCCTATCATGTTCCCCCACAAATGGGAATGCATTCCCACCTCAGTGCTTTTACTTGTGTTTCCCAGGCTCGTGGAATACTCTTCCTCTCCACCCATCTAAAATCTACCCATCTTTCAGGACTCTACCACCTGGATCCCTGTTTTTTCACTGGTCATTCCCCATGTCTGGAATGATCTCTCTCCTCCCTTCTGACTCGACTTCCCTGGCTTCTTTCAAGACCCAGCTCAGATCTTACCTCCTACAGGAAGCCTTTCCAGTCTCCAGGTTCTCTCCTTCATCTCTCTAGTTCCTTCACTCCGAGATCATCTTCCACTTACACTACATAGAGTTTCAATGTATATGGTTGTTTATGTGTCATCTCCCCAATTAGAATGTGAGCTCCTTGAGGACATGGATTATTTTTGCCTTTCTTTGAACCACCAGCACTTAGCACAGTGCCTGGCACACAGTAGGCATTTAATAAATGCTTACTGACTGACTCATACAACTCCTACCCACCTCTTCATGAAAACTCCTCTGATGAATAATTCACAGATCTCACTTCTTTGAATTAATTCCTATTTCACTGAGTGCTTCTAACACCCAACTTAACACCTATAAATACACACACACACACACACACACACGTGTATGGAATCATTGTTGTTTCATTTATCTATGATTTGTCTCCCCAACCTTCTTCATAAGATCCTTGAGGGTAGGCTACAGGCATGCCTTGTCCTCTTGTATCACTCCTAGTGTTCAGTACCACATATAGCAGGTACTCAGTAAAAACTCACAATCATTGAATGACTGAATTCTGGGGAGGTTTTGCAAGCCCGTTGTTTAAATCACAAGTTTGCCAACAGGTCATTCCATCCACCCCCAAGCCTGAGATTTGGGTGATCAGATTTTCTTAGAAAGATAGTTATGCCACCTCCACTTCCACAGAAGCATTCCTAGACTCTGGGTGAGTCCTGGCAAAGTGTCACTCTGGGGTCACCCCACTGGATTTGTCCCAGTGACAGATCTAGTGAACCAGAGCTCAATGTAAAGTTACAAGGTAGGCAAGCTCTGTGATAAAACTGCAGAATGGGAATTCTCCCCAGTTTCCTCCAAAACAGGGATACCACCTGGGCTCTAGTGCTCACTAGTGCCAAGGCCTCTAAGAACTACAGCCTCTTAGGTTTGAGGTATGAGAAGCTCAAGAGAAGGGCTGGGTCACTGGTACCATTTAGTAGGAAGTATAGCTGGGTCATCCCAAACATGAGGCATATTAGTCCACTTCACTCACAAATCATTTGTGAAGAAAGCACTTTGATCCAGGACTGGTTGGGGGGGGGGGGGGGGGGGGGGAGGGGCCCGCCAGTTAGACTAAAGGGAATCTGTTCCATGAACTTGACCATATGAAGTCCATGCTATAATCACTAATCTAATTAACACAAACAAAGCAGTGTCTTCAGAGATGCAAAGGAACTCTGACGATGACTCAGCCTTTATAATCAGAGAATTCATGATCCCCTGAATTACCATGATCCCAATAGTTAGCCAACATAGGCTGATATAGTCCTATTAACTTGAATCATTTCTAGAGTCTGAGGCTAAGGTGAAAGGCTGGGCTCAGACATAGTCACTGAAAGGTCCAAGGAACCCATACTAGGCCTACCCACTGAGAGAGATAATGTGAGAATGTAGGGAAGTGTGAGTGAGTGACAAAGACAGACAGAGACAGAGAGAGAAACAGGCAGAAAGAAAGAGAGATAATGGAATCAAAGTGTAAATGAGATATATTTTTGGATATAGCCAATTTGGGATTTTTTTTGTTTTCATATTTGTTATAAGGGTTTTATTGTTGTTGTTGTTGTTTTCTAATGAGGAAAGGCTGGAAGAAGAGAAAATAAATTTTTCTTAATAAAAAAAATGTAATTTAATGTTAAAAAATGTATGGAGAGAGATAACCAATGGTATAGAATAGACCTTCAAAGAAATAAGGTCTGTGCTAACATAATCACTTCAACTATACTGATTAGGCTAAGGAAGCCAATACTAGAATATGAGGGGGAGATGAATGAATACTACCTTTACTCCTCATCTCCGCCCTCACCCCCACTCACCCTGCAGAGAATCCAATCTACTCTCTAAACTAGTTAATAGGCTTTTCTCTGAGACAGCACCTCCATTTCCTGTCTCAATTCCCAACACACACACACACACATACACACACACCCCAAAAGCCCAGAAAGCCAGCTGAGTTCAAAGCTCCAATATTTTTCATTCTCAAAGTATACCAGGACACTGACCCTCTACTACTCCCAAACTGAAAGACCCAGGCACAACCCATTGAAAAAGGCATATACTTAAAAACCCATAGAAACAAGACCAAATAATTCTTAAAATTGCCCTTCTTCCAGGAAGTCCTGCTAGCCTAACTGAATGAACGATGATGATGCCTCCTCTTTACACAAATTCCTAACTTCTCCTAGGCCCCTTGCATCACTCAGTGCACTGATACCTTTAGAAACTTGCAAGGGATGTGAAACTTGATGTGAATGTATTGGCCTCATTGTTTAAAAAAATTTCTGCCTCATGGCTGTTATAAATATGTCTGCACGTAATAATCTTGACCACCCAAGAAGATGAGTTCCCTGAAGACAGAGAACACACATCTATGTGTAACTTGGTTCATTCATAACCAACAATGATGATGGAATTTGGAGGAGGGGAAGAAAGAGAAAAAGAAAAGAGAGAGCACATAAGAGAACAGAGAAGAGAAAGAAAAAAAAGACTGATTAGAGAGGAAAGAGGGAGAAAAGGAAGAAGAAAAGAGAAGGGGAAAAGAGAAGAAAAAAGATGGAAAAGGAAGAAGGGGAAAAGGAGGGGAAAGAAGGAAAAGAGAGAAAAGAAAATGAGGGAAAGAGGAGGGGAAAAGAAAAAAGAAAGGGAGAAAGGGAAGAGAAGAAATAAAGGGAGAAAAGGAAAGAGAGGAAAAGCAGGAGGAAAAGAGATAGGAAAACAGAAAAGAAAAACACAAAAGAGTGAGAAGAGAGAAGAGCAGAGAAAGAAGAAAGCAAGAGAGCACAAAAGAGGGAAAGAAAAGAGAAGGAAGAAAGAAATAAAAGATGAAAAAAGCAAAAGAAGAAAAATGAGGAGGTAAGGAAAACAGATGTTAGAGAAGGTAGAAAAGCAGACAACCTAAGTTAAAGTACATATTTACAATTCGATTAGAATTCTTCCTGGTGCACCTCCTTTTATTTCCTTCAGATCTTTGGCCTGAGCTAATTTTCAATCCCAGGCTAAAGGTAGTGGTACAGGCTCCCTGTCTCCTCTCCCATTCAAGCCCAGCTCTTTTAATTCTCGGAGTTGCTCTACCATAGTTTCCCAATAATATCTGATCCCCCACCCACCCCTTCAAGGCCAAGTTACTAATTAAAGAAGGAGAACCAACTTTCTCATTTGGACTATCCTTGTCCACCTTGCCCCCACCCCAAATATCATAAACCACATGTTCCTTCCCTCCCTTTTCAGCTAAGTTATCAGGAACCTAAGTGCACCTGGAACAGAGAGCCCCATATAGCACCTGGCAACCTTCATCCAATGGTGGGAAGAGGCAAAAACAGGGCCCTTTCAGGCTTCATGTTTTCAAGCTGGAGGAAAGGCAACCTCTGGTGGGCCAATGAGATTACCTGCAAAGCTGGTTCATTTTTCCTTTTCCCAATCTCCCCACCCCAGCCTCCAGAAACAACAGCAATTTCAGATCAAGGTGGGCTTCTTACTTTGATGTCAGGAAACTGGCCTAGATAAGTGTCCATGGTCAGAAGCGCCTGGTCCACCAGTTTCTGATGGTAATCCATCCATAGCAGGTCATTGTTCTGTAATATGCACATATACACTGAAGTGGTCAGAATATACACATTGCCAACTTCCCACTACCACCCTGGTCATGAAAATCACTTATGGTATGTAAATACATTTTAAAAATTATTTTATTATATTTTATTTTATATTTTATTATATTTATTTTATGTTATATTTATTATATTTTATTATAATTAGCTAAAAGTGATTTGAAAAATATACACAATTAGTATTTTTATTAATCCCAGTGGGCCTACGGTGGGATAGGTAGGGGGAGATAACTTATTTTACAGTTGAAGAAACTAAGGTCCAAAAGGGGTAGACTTCTGTGAGCTGGGGAAAGACTGAAAACAAAATGACTACAACAATGCAAATTGAAAGAACCACCCAAAAAAAGTAAACATTAACAAAATTCCAAAGAACAACAATAGCTAGAAAGAAGAGCTTTGAGAAGAAATTCCTATTACATCCCTTTGCAGAGGTAGGAAGTCCATGTGTGTGGCACATTGCATATATTTTGAGACTTTTCTGACATATTGCTAATGGCTGCGGGGTTTTCTTTTCTTCTTTTTTTAAATTTTTCTTTAAAAAAACATTATATGGGAAGGCTCTCTGGGATCAGGAGGGAGAATAACACTGGGGAAGTTTTTGGTGATGTAAAAAAACAGAAGACATCAATAAAAATGTATTTAAAATAAAACTTTAAAATGAAAGAAAATGGATCACAGATATAGGATATTGCCTATATTATTACATTTTTTCCCATATACTGACTGCTTTTACTGATTTTTTTTTACTCTTCCTCTTTTTTTTTTTTTAAATTCTTTGTTATATAGGATGGCTTCTCTGAGGAGGGGGAAGGAATCAAAGGGAGGAAATTTGGTGACATAAAAACAAAGATGTCAATAAAAAATTTATTTTTAAAAGAAAATGGACCCCAGAGTTCCCGTCTCTCAGGTTAGTGCCTTCTGTAGAGGACACATTGCCAGGAACACAGCACGTGCTTAATAAATGCTAGTTGACTTTACTTATATTCAAGGGTTGATCTGTGTATGGTTTAGCTAGAAGTAGAATAATCTGAGTTCAGAGAAAGGAGAGATGAGTGTGGACTAGAGTAATCAGGGAAGACATCACAAAGGAGATGGCACTTGAAGGATGAATACTATTTGGGAAGATGGAGAAGATAAGTTCCAGCCTGGAAAAAGAAAATAAAACCTTTGAGAGGTGAATATTATAATCATCATAGTAATTTTCATAGTGATTTTTGCTTTTATATTTTTTATCTTAAATCCTCTCCCAGTTGCTCTCCCAAGCTTCTCTCCTTTTTAGAAAGTGAGAAAACTGAAGGTCAGACAAGTTAGGTGACTTGACTAAGGTCACACATCAAGTCAGTGGCTGAGCCAAGACTAGAACCCAAGTCTCTGGATCTCCCCAAGCCCAAAACTAGCCATACTAGGCACTACACATATTCCTCTAAAAGAATGACTGCCAACCTAGAAATTGCACAGTGGCAAGAGCTTTGGCAGGGCAAGATCTTTGAAGGCAACAGCCTCCTCGATCTTACCCTCTCAACTGATAGCTCCAGAAATTCCAGCTTTTCTGGAAAGCCTTCTCTGGATAACCAAGAAAGGGGCTGTTCCATCCCCAACTCTGCTTCGTGTAAGCATGCAGCCTCCGTGTTTGGCTTTCCCACTGGTTGCAAGGCATAATGTACCACTCTCAGCCCATATTCTCTCATTTGGTTTAAGAGCACCATTTGCCTTTGGTGCTTACACAATGGAGCTGAGAGGTGGGGAAAAAGGAGGGGAGAAAGCCACAAAATTATAAAGATTCTTTGTCACTCCCTAGCTCCCCCTAGCAGTACCTATTTCCTGATTTTAATGATGTTCCAGTCCCAAGATCCCACCTCCTGTGTTCTATTCCCCCATAGCTCGGCTTTCAGCTGCCACTTTTCTGTCTCTGCCAAGGGTATCTGCAAGGATAGTCAAGGATTCCTGAAGCTGGAAAACCCTTCAAGACCGAAATTATGAATGAATTTCCTATGGTAGGATTTCAGGCATGAGACTTGCTGGTGACCCCTCTAACTACCCTTCTTCACTCTCCATCCAGGTTTGACTCTTCTGTTCATGGAGGCAGATCAAAGAAGGGTTGTTAGGAGCGCCCCCTCTTAATAGGAGGTTGATCAGACATACCATGTGCTCCACTCCCCTTTACTCCTTTACTCAGCCTCACAGCCCCACCCCATCTCCCTAGCTCTGATCCCTGGGCTTGTATTTTCTTCTCTGTGGTTTCCCTTTCTCTGCCTCTAAATGCCTTCAGTGAATGAAGAATCAGCCCTTGGGGCCTCTCATGCTGCTGGGTCAGCCAGTCTGCCCTCTTGCCTTCTCCATTTTCATATTTAGACTACCTTAAGGAAAAGACTTCTGACTGCCCAAATTCCTCTGACTTTTCTGTCTTTTTTTTTTCCTCTCTGGAAGACCTCTTATAAGAGGTCACATGGATTTTCCTCAGGGTTGTAACTAAGGAATAACCTAGCAAGATGGGCCACAGTTAGAAAAGCAACATAGTACAATGGAAAGACTGGATTTGGAGGCAGGAGAGACCTGGGTTCAAATCTTACATCTGACATGTGACCTTGGGGCAAGTCATTTAATGTCTCTGAGACTCAGTTTTCTCACCTATAAGATGGGACTAATGGTACCCATCTCCCAGTATTGTTGTGAGGATCAGGTGAAACAGTATATGGAAAGCCCTTGACAAACCTTAAATCAATTACGCATGCTATTACTGTTCACTCAGACTATGTTGTATCATTTCTTGTGGCTTTTAAGGTCAGATGTTAAATAGTCTTGATTTTAGGAGGCATGGTAGACAAAGAAAAGAAATACAACTTCCAAGGCAGTGGCACTGGGATCAAATCCTACCTCTAATGCTTTGGGCAAGTCATTTCACATCACTTGATCTCAATTTCTTCATCTTTAAATTGAAAGGTTTGGACAAAACGGGATCTAAGATCCCCTTCCAGCTCTAAATCTATAGTCCTGAAGTATTTCTTCTCCTAATTTTTCTCCTTTCAGTTTATTTTCCCCACTTCCTATTGCCTCTTTTTTTCACCGACTTAGTCACCCTTACTGAGGTCCCATCAATTTAACAGACGTTTATTACGATCTTGTTATGTATAAATTCATCACTAAAGTCCTTCAAAGGCTCATCACGTGATGGAGATGGGTCTGGGCTCTTGAAGATTATAAACAAGATTGTCCAGATCCAACCACGATGGAAAGGCTTCAAATATGGGCCCTGTGAGGAGATGGTTGTCTGCCATCCAAGGACCACTAAGCTGGCCATCGAATGATGCTGTTTTCTAACTACAGCTAATCATAAAGATGACATCGACTGAGATATACAGGGCCTGAAATCTACAATAGAGGGAATATAGATGCTGGTGAAATCATAGGCTTTTTCAAGCGAGGAAGTAAGTTGAAGCATGTGTTAGGATCTGAGGGATAAACAAAGATGAATAAGACTGAAGCATCCCCTCAAGGACCTTGCAATCTAACAGAGAAATATTTCTAAGGTTGAATTAAATGTAAGAGAGAGATTTCACTGGGGAAGGGGGAGAGAGAATGAGTCTTCATCTCACAGGCTAGAAGACAAGTGGCATCTTAGGAGCATGATCCCACTACCGATCAGCATGAAGATTCGACTTGCTACATTTCCGACCTTGGCCCTTCCTTAGACTACCTGGTTTGCCACCCACGCCTTTATAAGGGGGAAGGAGTGTCACCATATTGAGACTGAACTTAGAGTGGGCACCCAAACAGCTAAGAACTCCCAAGCTAAAACAATAAGCCAACCTCAGCCTCCCCCGTAGCAGAAATTACAGGTGTGCTCCACCATGCCCATTGAGAAAAGATTTAATTAATTTCAACATGCATCATGGCATGGTGGAAAGAATTTCCCACAACTAAACAAGTCAGACTAGATGATTTTGTAAGGTCCCTTCCAGCTATAATATGGTAAGAGACCCAGACAGTATTCTCAGCCCTAGCTACCCATCTGACACATAGTAGAGACTGGAGAGAGGGTAACAGATGGGGGTCAGGATTCAGCATGGTTGTACTAGAAAAACAAATGCACACACAGACATGTTTGCTCTAGGTTTCTGTAATAAAAACTCTCATTTATATCATGCTTTAAGGTCTACAAAGCACCGTCTTCGCAACCACTCTATAAGGTAGTAGTACATGTTTAATTACCCTGTAATCCTCTAACATGGATCTTCCCCATTTTACAGATGAGGAAACTGAGGGTCAGAGAGATAAAGTGAATTGCCAAGAGTTACATAGCTAGTGAGTGTGGTATTCAAGATCTGGGAATCTTACCCAGGTCTACTAGCTCCAGTACTCTTTCCATGATATCACACTACTTCTACAATGATTTTATATTTTAGCTAAAAATGCAACAGGAAAGAGCAATTAGCAAATTCATGACATGGGGTCTCATTTGTACTTCTATGATAGCTTAAATTTGAGTAAAACCCTGTACTTTGATTTTTAAGTGCTTAAGTCTGAATCCTTTTGCAGAAATGTCAAATCTGTTCAGTTCAAATACCATTGTAGAAAGTCAAAAACATTACCATTTATTAGTAGATATTAGTGATTTCAATTTAGTTAAAACTAGCAGGAACAATAGCAACAAAAGCAAATTAGATCTAGTAACACAAAAGTGCAAAGATCCCTAATGAATGAAAATTCTAACTGCTCTGAAGGACCCTGGGATCCAAAGCCAACCATTGGAGCAGTAACATCCAAGTTAAAATCAAGAATGACGACAGTTTAAAACTGTAATGTCGAGTTGGCAGTTGGGATAAAACAAAAGCATCACTGATTCCTCTGAAAACAATTCCCCTTCTTTTTTTCACCAACCACATCTAGAAAGAGATGATCTGGGCTTATGATTGGCTAAAGGGAATCAACCATGGGGGTGATTTCTAAGCCTATGAAATAGGAAGGCCTCATTGGTTTTAGATAACATTTGCATTTAATCAAGTCTGAATTTTATTTAGAGCTAGACTCTTATAGACCATTGAGTCCAATCCCCTTATTTTATAACTTATTTTATATACTTAGGCACTTAAAATTACATACTCATACATATAGAATCAGTGCTGAAAGGGACCCAAGAAATCATGGAACACTCTCACTTTACAGAGAGGAAGCTGGTAAAGCTGAGGTTCCAAATCTGCACATTTTAAATTATAGCAAATTCCACCACTACCAAAGAACTATATTAAAAGGGACCTTAGAGACCATCTAGTCTAAACCTCTTATTTGACAAATGAGGAAACTGAGGCAAAGAAGTGCAATGACTTGCCCACAGTCACACAACGAGTTACTGGAGTGGGGCAGACCTAGAACTGAGATATCTGGACTTCCAATCCAATGTTCTTACCACATTTCATTCTTGACCAGGTTTTACTTTTTATTCTTAATTTGTTCTTCCTCCCCCAACCTTTCAGAGGAAAGAACAAAAAGGAAAGTGTGGGAATAAATATGCTTCCACTGATAGGGGAATAAAGACATGACCAGATACTTCTCTCTCACCGACCAAGATGACTGAGCCCTGTAACTCTATCTTCATGCCAGGCTGGACACTTCCTGACCATCAATCACCATTTTTAAAAATCATTTCCTTTCTCCCCTGGTCTCCACTCCCCTGCTCCCAGCCCCAGACCACAATCTTACTTCCGCTATTTTGTTTGTCTCCTCTCTCCCGGGCCAGTCTGGTTCATACACCTCTTGCAGACACTCCGTTAGCTTCTTAGAGGCTTCATGCATTGCTGAAAGGGACACAGAAGAGCTCAATGCAGAATCCACAGGGAGAAAGGGGAAGAATTAGGGGCTCTTCCTGCCCACCAACCTCAAACCTTTTCCCACTTCCTCAGATTCCTTCTGATTCCACCCATTAGAGGCCCTGGCTTCTAGCTGCAATCAGCCCTAGTTATGGTTCCCACCAAAATAGAATAAGGATCAGATAGGGTTGCCTAACCAGGACCCTTTAGGCCCTGGCCTGTCAAAGGCATGTTCATTTGTACACCCTGGCTGATACTTCTTAGAGGATCCAATATAAACACAAACCTGGAGGCAATTCCTACTATGCCATCGCTTTCAGGCTGTCCTCCCAGATTAGCATCAGGATTAAAAACAACCCTGACCTGAGCCAAATATACCTAAACCAAGGTGCCCAAGTCCCTTCATCCATCCATCAGAAAAAATCAGAGAAGACACCTGGGCCCCAGTCATTGCCAAGACACAGGCTGTAGAGATGGTCATGGAAAACTCTGCCCCTTGCTCTGCTCGAGGAAAATGCACCCATGGAAAATCCTACCTTACCTTTGACAGATGCCAAGTAGGTGCGCAGATCCTTTTGCAGCCTGGTCCCTTCCGTCTGCAATGACAAACACAAACTCTTGATCAAAACCTCCGCATGTAGAGGAGCAGATTCATGCCCCTCCCCCAATTCCTATTTATTCATTCAGTCAGTCTTTATTAAAAACCTACTATGTGCTCAGCACTGGGGTAAGTACTATGGGGTATACAAATGAAATATAAGCCCCGGACCTCATCCTCAAGGAGCACAAGGCACACACAAGAAAACAGAATTACAAAGGATTACACAAGGGAGTGTATAACAAAGTGCCACAGGAAGAGGAGGAAGGAATTAAGCATTTACATAGTGCCTACTATGTGCCAGGCACCATGCTAAGTATTTTTTACAAATACTATCTCACTTGATCCTCACAGATCTTCAAGGTAGGTGCTATTATGATTCCCATTTTACCTATGAGGAAACTGGGGCAAACAGAGGTTAAATGATTTACCAGGGTCACACATCTAATAAGAGTCTGAGGTCACATTTGAACTCAGGTCTTCCTGACCCCAGGCCCAGACCTCTATCCACTGCCTTTAATATGTGACAATAAATACAGAGGAAGTTCACAGATATCACTAAAGGTCAAGGAAGGGTTCACAGAGTGAAGAGATTATGATATGGCAAGATAGGTAGAATGTGAATCAGGGGTCACTCCAGGAGCAGGGAGTTGTACTGAGCAATGACACAGAGACAAGAATGTCCATGGCATGTCCAAGGGACAGTGTGCATGGAAGGAAGGGCCCTAGGTTCCAAGTTCACTAGATTTGAGTCCCAATCCCAGTGCCACCCATTTCTGGCCACAGGACCTTAGGAAACTTAGTTCATCTCATCTATAAAATGGGGATAATCATACCCAGTCTGCCTACATGGTTGCTGTGAGGCTCAATGAGATGGGACAAGCCTGAAAAACTATAAAGCATAAATGCAAGGGAGTATTATTGTTTTGGTTGTTGTTGTTAAAGCACAGTCAAGCGTGGATGGATCTGAATAGATGGACAGCAATGGATCTGAAATTAGAAGGCATGGCTTTTCCATCCTCCAACTATGGGACCTTCAGCAAATCATTAACCTATGCCTCAGGTCCCTCATTTCTAGAACTAGGATAATCAAACTGCGCTACTTACTTTATAGGATGTTATGGGGAAGGGGGTAAGGAAGGTAGAGAGAGGAATGGAACACCATGTGCTTATAATGAGCAAGCCTTACGCTGGATAAGCATTTACCCTTACCGTTACCTAGAGAAAATTTATTTCCTTCCTTCCATTGCAGAGTTAGGGGACTATGGGTGTAGAATATTGCACATACTATCAGACATGGGCAATGTGTTCATTAAGTTTTGCTGAACTTTTTTTTTCCCTCTTTCTTTTCTAATCTTTGTTAGAAGGGATGGCTGATTGGTAGGGAAGGGTGAAGGGATGGAAAATGACCCCAAAATAAAAGGCAGTGAAAACAAAAAACAATAAACAGAAATATTTAAGAAGAAAAAAAATAATAACAATAGACTTGCAGCCAGGAGATCTGGATTGAGTCTGATTCCAGTGCATGCCAGTTGTATGACCAAGGGCAAATTCACTTCAGTTCCTAAGGCCTCAGTCTCCTTAACTATAAGATGGAGAGGCTACGATTTTTACTACCTACCTGATAGAGTTGTTTGTAGACAAGTATTTTGCAAAGTATTTTGCAAAGTGTTATGCAAGTGTGAGCTATCATTCCATAGTCGAATCTACTTGAAGATGAAAGCATTCTACAGTATCCTAGTCACAGGATCCACAAGGCTAGCTCAGGCCCTGGGAGGCACTGGCTGGCCTCGCCAGAGTTCAGAGATCGATTGAATGACTACCACTGCCACGCCTGGGACCCAGAGTCTGCACCACTAGACTGATCCAAAATCCGGAGATACTGATTTACCTGTATTTTGTCCAACACTTACATGTGCTTAGTCTGATTTCAAATGCACAGAAATTCTTCCAAATCATTTTCCCTCTCTCTGGTTTCCCCACATCCTCTCCTCCATTATCCCATGCTCAGCCCCTGTTCCTCTTTCCTTCTCCTCTGACCTTCTTCTGTATCCTCAGGTCTTGCTTTTCTATGTGTCAGATAAAGATGCTCAACTTGGAAAAACAGTGAGCTAGGTTCCCCCCACACTATACCCTAACTCCCGCCCTATTAAATGGGATTCAAGTGGCCACTTTCTTCTTTATCTATAAAATGGAAACAATAATATCTGTTATACCTAACTGACAGGGTTGTTGGGAGCTCAGATGACATAATGTACACAAAGTATTTAGCAAATCTTAAAAGCACTACAGAATGTCAACTGTTATGACTACACAGAAGGCCACCCCCAAGTAATGCCTCCAACACAATGGCTTCCCAACCCCGTGGTGGCTTCACTCCTAGACACCCTGAAGGGGCACACTGCTGCCTCACACTGAGCTCACGAGGAGGGGGGAGCCTAGCTGGCCTGTACCAGGGCCCGTCACGGTCCCCTTGTGCCTGTGAACAAAGATCTTCTGTCAGCAGGAAACAGATGTGCAAGGAAACCCAGCCTGGAGATTCCCCGGAAAGTCCAAAGCAGGGCCAGCTGCAACCATTTCACTGGAATACACTCCCCCAATGGGCCCCCTTCAAGTCAACTCATCCATCTCTCCCTGGCCATGAGGTGATTGCATTCAACCCCCAACTCCAAGCAGGGCAGTAAACAATACAGCCAGCTGTATTCTCAGTAAAACCTGAGCATCTAAATGGAGGATGCTGTCCTTCACAAAACACCCCTCTACTCCCTAGAGTGCCCATGGAGTTAAGTCTAGCTTATCTAGAGAGCTAGCTGCCCAAGAGTAGCTCAGGACCAAGGCGGCCAACATTCTGCGATCAGCCTAGCACCCTGAAACAATCTGGATGAGGCAAGAGGGGAGGAGCCAAATCCAAAACTCCAAGGCCTCTTCTCTCTCCCCTTCCTCATTCACCCAGAGCTGGCTCCCAGTTATCTCGAGGGTCAAAGCCAAACACCTGGCGATAAGTCTCCAGGCTTAGCTTGCACTCTCAGGTAGGCTCTTCAAAGGATGTTTAAAGGGGGCCTTGACCCTCCCCAGCTCCCAATCAAAGTCCAAAAACCTGCCTAGCCCTTTGCTTCTTGCCCAATGAACCCATCTCTAACTAATGTACCGCAGGATAGGGGTTCCTTCACACAAGGAGGAAGATTTCCAGTAGCACAAAGAAAAGAGGTAGTAGGCCTGATTCATCACTTTCTAACACCAATGACACGGACACTTTTCCTAAGCAGACCTGAGTCCTATGTGGCATGAACCCTTAACAAGCTACGTCACTGATCTCCAGCTAATGAGTGACTCTTGGGCTTACAGCAAGAGTTTTTAATCTTTTCTGTGTCATGGACCCCTCCTCTGCCAGTCTGGAAAAATCCATGGACCCTTTCTCAGAATAATGTTTAAAATGCATAAAATAGAGTTATAGTAATAACTAACATTTATATAGCTCTTATTAGGTGCTAGGCACTGTGCTAAGCACTTTACAATTGCTATTTCATCTGATCCCCACAACAACCCTGGTAGGTACGGGCAATTAGTAACCCCCTTTTATAAATGAGGAAACTGAGGCAAACAGGAATTAAGTGACTTATCTAGGGTCACATAAGATTATAAAGGAAATCTATTATATTGATACGTAGTTATAAAAATTTTTTTGAACAAGTTTGTGGGCCCCATATTAAGAACTGCTGGTTTAAATGGTTTAGTGGCATTAAGAAGAAATGCCTGGAAGTCTGAGAACACGTGGGAGGTAACCTTTGTTTTAGCAAATAAAGGAAGGAGGCTCTCTACACTCTCCTCCAAATGAATCTCTTAGACCCTCTAAGCTTAGTAATCTCTCTGATGCCCTTTGCAGTCTTCCAAATCCCTGTCCCTCTCCTTCTCACTGATATATTCCTAAAACTGGGGATCTTCGACTGCATCCAGCATGTTGAAGAAGCAATGGTGTGTGTGTGTGGCAGGGCATAAGGAACATCAGGGGGCAGCTAAGGGGTGAAGTGGATAGGGCACCAGCCATGGAGTGAGGAGGACCTGAGTTCAAATCTGGCCTCAGATACTTACTAGCTGTATGACCCTGAGCAAGTCACTTAACCTCTGTTTGCCTCAGTTTCCTCATTTGTAAAATAGGAATAATAATATTACCTACTTCTTATGAAGGTCAAATAAGATAATAATTGTAAAGTGCTTAGCACAGTACCTGGCACACAGTAAGCACTATATAAATGTTAGCTTTTATTATTATTAGGGCAGCTGGGTGGCACAGTGGATAGAGAGTGCCAAGCTTGGAGTCGGGGAAGACTCATGTTCCTGAGTTCAAATCTGGTCTCAGGCACTTACTTGTTATGGGACCCTGGGCAAGTCACTTAACCCTGTTTGCCTCAGTTTCCTCATCTATAAAATAAGCTAGAGAAGGCAATAGCAAACCACTCCAGTTTCTTTGCCAAGAAAATCCCTGATGGGGTCAAGAACATTATTATTACTGTAGTAATGGGTGGAAGCTGCAAAAAGAAAATTTAGGCAAGATGTCAAAAAAATAACTTCCTAACAATTAAGCTGTTCAAAAGAGGACTGGGCTGCCTGGAAGGGTGATAGGTTCCACCCACTCTTTCGAGATCTTCAAGCAGAAGCTAGACCATCACTTGTCTGGCATATTTTAGTGGAGATTCCTTTCTTGTTATGGCTCGGACTAAGATGGCCTCTAAGGTTCTTTCATATTCTCAAATTTTGTGACTTGCATCTGAAGTTTATAATTATGTCTTATCTATGCTGCAAACTCCATGATGACAGACAATCTCTCTTAGCTAAACTTGGACTGGATTCTCTGGGAAGACTTGTATGAACTGATGCAGAGTGAAGTAAGGCAATGTGAGGCAGTGTCATGGAAAGCGTGCCAGATTTGGAGTCATGGGACCTGGGTTCAAATCCTAGCTCTGCTGCTTAAAACCTATGTGACCTTAGACAAGTCACTTA